TTTAATACCAACGATTTTTTATTGGCTCCCATTGAATTTTTCAGGGTTTTTGTGGGTTTTTGGCGGACCTAAAAATTATAGTTGCGATGAAAAAATGGTTAAATAAACAATTAAGTATTTTTATTGGGCATCTGCTGCAGAGAAACCGAGTTATCCGATAGAAAAATATTAATTTTTAAGAATTCTATACCATTTCTACGAAAAGTTGTTTTTCCCCATACAAAATACATGGAAAACTTTGGGCGCTTTGAGCGACCTCTAAATATTTTGCGATTTTAAAATAAAAAATAGGGGCATATTTTTTTCGGTATAGAACACTCCTAGAGGGTGAGAGCATAAAAATTCCGACTTTACTTTTTCACGTGTATTTTTGGACCACCCTAGTGTAGACACATACACCTTTGTAGGTACATATCGTCGGTTAAGGTACAAAACCGCTTATCAAGAAAATGCGCAACCTCGTATGAAAGTGGCCCAAATTATATAGGAGAGGCTAAAGTTTGTCTTATTTGAAAACAGTTCTTTCTTTTATCCCAAATTATCTCTTCTCCCTATATCTAAGTATCGAGATTTTAGTATGAATGGACAAGGGCTTGATGCCAGCAGCTTCCGGTGAGCAAATCCAATTTTCGGCACAAATTTCAGTTACGAAGTTTTGCAGAACCGGTTTGTACTTTAAACGCCGATATGTACATCTCCATTTTTATATTTTTTTACCGCCGATGAATAGAAGATTGGTTTGTTTGTGCACGAGTGCAAATCCGGTCTGCGTTAATTATGTTAACGGAGTGGAGCGTCAGACAGAGCAGACAATGGGCGGTTGGGAAACACTCGATTGATTGAAATACGAATTCACGCGAAAATGCATTTACGCTGAGGGCATCAAAGTGATTTCAATTACAGTGAAATTCGCTTTACAGTGCAGAAAGTAGGAATAGGAAATTGGAAAAAAAGGAATGTACATGCAACACAGAAACATACAGTGACTCACACAAGTGTTCACGTGTTTTGATTTTTAAATATTCACAACATTTTTCAAGTAATTTTTATAAAAATATTGTCCAAGCCAAAACCATTAAACCAAGAGTTTCAAGCTTTATACAAAATTTAGGAAAATTCATCAAATTTTCATCAAAATTTCGAGCTTTTTAATCTGCATATCTACAATATTTTTGTATGCAGTTTTATAGTCCATATATAATTTTAGTCTCAAGCGTCTAAAAAATCGCTTTGAATTTTAATATTTTTTTTTGCTGACGGATTTTTGCACTTTGTTCCATATGAGCATGCATTTCGTATAAAATAAAATGCGGGCGACCGTTCGCAACAAAATTTATAAAAATCAACGCCAGTTTTTGTAAATTGCACTTGAAAAAATTATTAAAAATCAATGCAATTTTTTAGCCGCTTGACACTTGCACTTCAGTTATGGGCTTTAAACCTGCATGCTAAAAAAATGTGGTACAGACTCAGATTAAAAAGCTCAAAATTTTGATGAATTTTCCTAAATTTTGTATAAATCTTGAAAAAAAAAATAACACGTGAATACTTGTGCGAGTCACTGTATGTATGTTTACATGTTCTTCAAAAAACGTTTGATCAAATGAAAAGAGACCAATTAAAAGACCGACAACCACTTAAGCCCGGTAGATAAAAAAATACACTTCAGTAGTTAAAATTGTAATGGAAACCGAGGAATTTTCTGAAATTGTTGAGTAAAATACAGATTTAAATGTAGTTATAAGACTATTGGGTGGTTCACAAGGTGTCGTACTTGTCGTATTGTTGTATGTTGTAAAGTTTTTAACGGCTAAATAAACGTTTAGAGGACTTGAAATCAACGCCAACTATTTTTTATTTGTGTGAAATTTTATAATAAAACTTTTATGTTAGCTTGCGAATTCCTTAAATATAGTTTTAGCCGTTTAAAGTTTATGACATACAACAGTACGACAGTATACAACACCTTGTGAACTCCCTATATGATTATATGTGCATACGTCGACTAATTAACTTAGTGACATTTTGACCAGTTTTTAACAATTTTTCTTTTGTTTGCTTATCTAATGTTCATTATTATTTTTTTCTTATAAAAGTATAGCTCATTATAAAAAGCCAACAACTGCACATTTCAAACAACTTTACACCAAAACTTTAAAATTTTTAATTTTTTAAGTTTCAAGTGGCTAAGAACATGCGTTGATTGTTAATAATTACCACGCTTTTATCAACTTACTTTCTTGTTTGTCCAGATACCTTTGCTATAATAAAAGTTTCTATAAAACCTAGTCTAGACATCAACCTCGTCGGTAGATATCATATCAAAGAACAAACAATTAGCAACACTCGCTAGAAGAATATACATATTTAACAACGCCTAAAAATATGCACTACGCTAAAGCGGATCCGAAGATAGTTAAAAATACGTCTGCCATATTGGATACGCCATTTTAAAATTTGAAAATCGGACTTAAGATTCGTAATCAGCGATCCCAAAGACATTATAATATGTCATGACTACGGTGACCATATTAACCAACGTAAAATAAAGGAAATTTTTTTTCGAAATACAACTCGTATGATAAAAGTACCTTGCCCATTTCGTAATTTAAATCAAATATTTACCAGTTCATTATATTATTTAATTGTACAAGTTCCCCTGCTGTAGCGAAAAATTAAGCCAAATCCGGTTCAAGGACTTCGCCATCCTTTGCTACCAAAATGCGTTTACCATAATTCATACTGCACGACGAAGATAGCACACAGTGGTTCAACATTGGAATTCAATGCACATAATCCACCGGCGCCTTCATTTATCAACCAATTTTTTACTAAAACCAAAAAAAAATATTTATTTAGGTGAACATTTTATTATAACATTTCAACATTTGTTTGTGTATTTCTTTTGTTTTGGGAGAACCATACAATTGTTTTCAACTAGTTTTTGTTACGTAACATCTATTAACTGGAACAGGAGAATACATTTTCTTCAAAATTGCTACTTTTTCGGCATTTTGAACTAAAAAATGTAATATAATCAAATTAAAATTCAGAAATCAGGCTCAATTGGTCTCTTGCAAATATTGTAAGCTTTAATAAAAAAAAAATTAAAAATTAATCAAATTAAGTGGAAAATTAAGTGAATGAATGCCAGTTTTGAGCCACTGTGCAGCAGGGTGTTTATTGTTCTCTTTCAGTGGAACTGGAAATTCAGCGTGCAACACGATCCTGGGCACAACTTTCCCTGTGCTTTATAGATTAAACAAAGATTATCGAAAACAAATTGGCGAAAGTTTTCATTATATTTTATAAGGAAAATTCTGAGCCGGTTTAAAGCACAGTTTAAGAAATAAATGACAAAAGGTGTCCTTTATATTGAAAAAAAAATATACATAAAGGATAGGGGGTTAAAATAAAGGACGGATGGTCACCGTACCCAACAGTTTTGCAAAGTAATGACCCAATTTTGAATTTTAGATTCTACCACTTTGCAATCGAAAGGGTATATATAAGCTTACGAGTATTTTGACTTACTATATATCGCTCGGCGAAATTCGTTGGAAGAAAGTTCGCTTCCAAAATTAAAACACACTGCAGTGTATCGATGGCTGAGTGGAAGATCGACCTATCTCGGCAGCCAGTTCGAAAACGCTCTATCTCAAAAAACTTTTCAAGAACGCCCTATTTCAGAATTTAATTGGAAAACACCCTATCTCAAAATTCGGTTCAAAAACGCCCTATCTCACTTCAAAATGTATTGAAAATATGCTGATATAGGGCGTTTTTGAATCGGCAGCTGAGATAGGGTGTTTTCCAATTAAATTCTGAAATAGGGCGTTCTTGAAAAGGTTTTGAGATAGAGCGTTTTCGAGCTGGCTGTCGAGATAGGTCGATCTTCCACTCAGCTATCGATATGAGATTGCCCATAACCAAAGCCACGACGAATTTCGTCTGACGAAATTCGGCAAGAATAGATTTATTTTTAATTTTGCCGCTGCCGCCGGTCACAAAATCAGCTCTCAGTGGAAAAGTAGCTTTGTTTCCCCATTTTTCTAGCAGATAATTATCTACAAGACTCAGAATAGCAAAATTTGGTGATACATCTCTTCGATTTTGTATTTTTAAATTTTTTGTTTGTCATTCATTTGATGCGAATTTCATTTCTGTTCTATTTTACTGGGCGAAATGCTGCGGCGAATATCACCCGGCGGCATCGCTCCGACCGACGGAATTCGCACAGTGATTTGGTTCTGTTTATACTTTTAGTTGCTTAGAATTTTGGATAGAGCTCTGGGCTGGTTGATGTGAAACGTCCCATTTATGTTGATACATATATACAGGAATTGCTCGTTTAAAGTAATGAGATTATAAGACTATTATATAAATACATATGTACATATTTAATTTATTCATAAATTTTAGTAAATTACTGCCATTTTATAACATCACTTCAGTAAAATACATTGGGCAATTTATTGCCCTAAGTGAGTAATTTTTCTAAACTATTTATTTTGAAAGTGGCATAAGTCACTTTACCGTAATGAAAGTGGTGGTTTTTGCACGACTATACGAAATTACTTATACTGCAAAAAATATAGGTATCCTACAATAACAAATACAAGTAAATCGTTTCGAAGGTTGGCATCAATATTTTTAAAAGTACTAAAACGCAAACCCTTATGCTGGATTTCCACTAGGCATTAAATGGCAAAAATGACGAATGACAAAGTCGGGCATTAAAAAATAATCGTGTCATTACATTCAAAAATAATCATTAAGTTCATTTCCACATGGCATTTTTTTAAATGATATAAATTTTTTGTCATTTCAATGCCTAGTGGAAATTCGGCATTACATATATCGATTTGAAAACAAAGGCACTTATGCCACTTTCAAAATAAACGGCTCATATGTACGTACATACATACATCATTAAAACTGGCATTTGGGAATCTTCACAAAATGCCAGTAGAATAAAATGTGATATTTATTTCACTTACCTCCCAGATGAGACGAAAATCCTGTTGCTCTACGCGAAGCAGTTCGCAGGTGGTTTTTGTGACGACAGTGCTGTCCCGGGGAAGATCATGCAATATGGATTCACCGAATGTAGCGCCCACCCCGAGGTTGCACAATGTTACAGGCGCCTATAAGGAAACAAATAAATTATTGCACATTAAATAAAATGTAAAAAATTAACTCACTGATCTTCCTAATGCATAAATTAAAATGATGCATTTAAATTTAAGATTTTTTTTTTAAATTCGGGAGCAGAATAGAATCTTTCTAAACAGTAAAAATTCTTTTAAATTAAGGTCCTTTGTGTTAATTATTATTTGCAAGGACAATAGGGAGGATACTCTGACTTAAGAAAATATTTTTATTACGACTGAAATATACCCGTATATATTACAAAAGTTAACTTGTTTGTACTATTTTGTTAGTATAGAAAGGCCCTAACTACTTTCAATATTTGTTTTTTTTTCAAAAGCCGGATTACTCACATATCGTCGTTTAAAGTACAAAACCTGCTGCCAAAAATTGGATTTGCTCACCGAAGCTTTTTCGCCTAATTGCACATCAAAAATTGTGCAATCTTTTCATCGCTGGGGTGCAATTTTGTTTTCTTTTACATTTGACATTTCTCCTCTTCTTCCCAAAAATAATCGATAAAACTCAGTTGGACACCGCAAAGTTGTCGGTTTAATCTGAGATTATTTTGTAATTACAGATTAACGAGAGATTTTACATGGCTTATCTAATTACAGATTAGGAAGTTAAGCTCGAAAATGAGGATAATCTACTTGTATAAGTTACGTTGCGTTAATTCTTACGCACATATACATATGTACGTATGTACATATATACAAGTGAACTAAGTCCCAGCATAATGATGTCACTCCAAATATAGAAAATTAAGAAATCATTACCAGTCTACGTTGGACTTTTTCCTTTTATGTTTCTAATGTTAAATTCATATGTAATTTTCCCACGTTTTTGTCTAAAAGATAAGCGGCGATCTATATACATCAGGGTGGTCCTTAAATGTAGGAAGCAAGTTTGTACATCAGATTTCCTACGCCTCAACCCCTACGTCGATGCTACTGTAGTCGAAGATATCACATATGGGCATTCCCATGGTGGCGCACGTGACAGTCGTACGATTTCAATGTGATACAAAAAAGGAATACCATTTGTTTTCTTTAACTTTTTTGGGCCATTGTATAGCACGTAATTAGCTCTATATTTAACCGAAAAATTAAATCAATCGAACTGCTTGGTCCTGAAATAGAAGCATTTAAAGAGAGGTTCGTTCGCAAAACTCTGCGAATTGTGGATGGCTATTTTGATGAAACTTATTTTGATATGATTTGGAGCAATTCTAGTTGTTTTTAGAGTTTTTTGAATTAATGCAAATTGTTTCAATTCTCTTTTACAACCCCAAGTGTGAAACGTGACGTGACGTGGCGTGACGTGACATAAATTTCCATCGTTATATTTTTGTTAATATTGCTTTTAAATGAATTTTCAACGCAAATAAAACATGTATTTTATGTAGAATATACTTTATATTTTGACTTCAGCGCCAATTCAGGGTCAATTTATTGGAAATCTATGATTTATTATGTTTCAACCACATTCGCCAAATTCGAACCAAATCGGACCATAAATACCGTTTTTCGAAATATCTCGACCTTGGCACCACCTAGGAACACCATTTTATGCAAACATGATTCTACTTACATAGCCAGTATATATTTTAAAAAGCAGACAAATCGGCCCGTAAATACGTTAGATATAAAACTTTTATTTTTTTGTTGTCGTGGTGGACCTTCCGGTGGAAACACCCATATACATTTTGGTCCCGCTTGAAGTCGGTTAAGGCGTGTCGCACAGGGGTCAGATTATGAACACGTCATAACTGACTCCAATTGGGACCAAAACTTACATGTATATGTGATATCTTCGACTATGGTAGTATCGATTTTGGGTATAGAGGAATTGGTACTTTGTCCCCTATCCGACACACCTCAACCGTCTCTAATCGGAACCAAAATGTATTTGTGTTATCTGTGACCGTGGTATTACCGATTGTGGAAGTGAGACTGTATAAACGCGTTCATTTGATTTTTTGAAGGACCACCCTAACGTACATGCATACATAAGTACATACGATTTTCACATGAAAAGGTAGACGAATAAGTTTTGTTGAACTCTTATTATACACTCCCCTTTTGTTATGAAGTTCGTGAATATACTTAGAACCAGTGTTGCCACGGACAAATTTTTTTCCTAATAAAAGCAACTAAACCTACTAAAATTTGTTTGGTTTTTTTTTAATTTGTTTCAATGTCAAGTCAGCCCTTTCGTTGCCATCAAACCATTTATGTTCCGTATCCCAACACAGCGTTATGCTAAAAGATCATCTAAGGCATTTAATGCTGCCTGACTATCCAACGTAATATTAATTGTTTGCTCTTCTACGAAGACATTCGGGAACACAGACTTCAATTGCGAAGACTTGCGCCTAAAATATCGTTGGGTATGTGCCCATGGGCAGACTTTCTTGGAATCTTGGTCCAAGTATGCCTGCCACAGTACTCCCGCCGTCCATCTTCAATTTATCGGATTGTGACCTTTCGTCAATCATAGTTATTATCGCTTCAAAGCGGTCCCTTTCCAGAATTCTGACCTTGTGGGGGTTGCAGAAGGATAACTCGGGATCATCCAGGAACGACTTGAGAACCCACCTTTTCATGCTGAACGTATTGGGCAGACGAGGGGCACTCTAGCAGGCCTCTTTTTCTATCAGAATAGACAAAGGAGGAGTGCCTGTAATGACACCAAGGTGCGCATCAAGTTGACTTTCCTTTTTTTGGTAAATGGGACAATGGTGGACTTAAGTGGATTTATTGACAAGCCCTTTTCAAGGTTGCTAAAATGTTTGCAGATACATATTTTCTATTTTTCACAAATAACTATTTTTGTCGCGAAACCTACCAAAATCCAATCTAGGCTACCAACCTACCAAAATGGAAATAAACTTGCCAATTTTGGCAACACTACTGCTTAGAACTCAGCTTCACTACTTCTTTCGTTCAGTTCGTTGGCTTTTGTTGATGCAAACGCTTTTCCCTAGAATTGATTGATTAAAGTTTCATATTTAAAGACGCTAATTTACTCAAAATTGATACCAACAACAATCTCTTGAAAAGAAGTAACATTATTTGGAATTTCGGAAAATGGGCGTGATACCGCCCACATAAGACTATATAAGTTTATCTCATAATGTCTAACTGAACGTTCTATCGAATATGTTTTAAATAGGGGTAAAACCACCCCTGCTTACCACGTAGTGGTGGTAGTTGTCGGAAAGGCGCCGGCTATTTAATGTTCGGCTCCGCCCGAACTTAGACTTTTTTACTTGTTTTCCGTTGCAATTAAATACATATGAGTGATTTGAAATAAAAGAGTCTATTATTTATTAACACGTTTGTCGCCGCAATGCGTTTATATGAAGCACACGTAATATTTGGTTTAGCAGCGAATCGCTTTTACAGCTGTCGACTGGGTAACTGAAAAAACCGCAGTTGAAACCAGCTTGCCTGCGTAGCCGTTGGCAGACATCAAAATTCATGAAGCTCTGCGTTCCAGTTGACAGCGACAGTGTTGACAATGGTGGCGAAACCACAGCCAAAGTTGCATGTGAAATGACCGATTTTACAACACCAAACACACGGAATACATACTACATACTTCTTTTGTGAGAACTTTAAAATTGTGCATGAATTTGAAAAGAGTGTCACACGTGCACACCATTCATGCATTCATCCATCGTGGAAACCATTACAGTATCGTTCGCCCTTTCGCATGCTTGCACGCTTGATTTGACATCTGATGGGCCACACAGTTCAGCTTCCACTTGCTCGAGAGTCAAGAAGCAATGGCGTGCATTGTGTGTGTGTGTGTTGCGTATGCACCGGAGTGTACTCAATTGAGTTTCAATATTTCAATATAATCCAACGTCAGTTACCGCGTGTGCTATTTCATTCCATTGCAACAACGTCTTACTGGGTTCACTGACGTTAGTATGGCATTAATCGCGATCCCCAAAGTGCAACATTGTATTCACAAAAACACATATTTACAAGCGTTCGCAGCACCACTGCCGTGTGGGCAGCCAAGCGTCACTCGATGCCGTGCCCAGCAGCCTCACGCTGACCACGGCCGTCAGCATGCAAATGCGCAAAGCATCCGAAGCCAACATTGCTGTCGCGGTTACGCATACATGCTTGGGAAATCACCTGGAGCGGCGGAGGCCATTTGCAGAGTTGATTTCATTAAGTCTGCTTTCATAACTAGAAATTCTTCCAGCGATGTAGCACAAATAATGTCAATATGAATTTTCGCAATCGCATCTGCTTAGTACATATATTTGTATGGATGATGAGGGCCTCTGCGAGCTGTAACGACCAAATTTCATCTTTCATCGCACATCGTTGAGCAACATCATCAATAGCAACAGTTCCATGAACCAACAAACCAGCCATCCAAAACAGCAACTCCATCGCCAAGAGCATGATAGACATCGTTATTGCTACTGCCTTCATAACGAACGTTGGTGGCTATCGCTTTCGTTTCTCCAACTGACTAGCTATGCAAAACCGCCTATTGAATTTCAAATGCTGTTACGAAAACTGCAATGGGTTGTAATGGATCTAAGTAATGTCGTGGCAGTCTTGCGGAGTGGAAGTCTGCCAAGGAGAAAACTGTGCCATAACTTTGGCACAGCAGGGTCTTGCATTGGCTACGGACGCGTTTCGCGTTCGATGACTGCCATTGCAGTTTTGCGTTGAGTTTAGCACTATCTGTCCAACTGTTTGGAGTCAATGAAACTGAATATGTTGTATATAAGTAGTACGTAATATGAACATTTGTATGGTTCTATTCATGGCGGAATTATATCAGAAGCAGTTCGAAAGATTTGACTCTGCCTTATTGGAAGTGTGTGACTCTTAGGCACAGTGCACATTAGAGCGATATGATATTCGATACGATACCCGATACGATATGACAGCGACATCGACATGCGCGCAGTGCACATTAGAGCGATACGACATGCGATACCAATCGATATTATGTCGTC